GGCCTTCGTAGTTCTCCAAGTTTCCGCCACACACAGTAGAACTGTCTTGACATTTGGATTGAAAATTCTGACCTTGGTGTTGGTTGACAGATGGTTGTTTTGAGTTCCAGATGTTCTTCAGTTGTAAATATGCTGGTCTTGCTTTGCCGATCCGCGCCTTCACATAGGCATCAAACCCACCATGTTCATCAATGATACTACCCAAATATGTGAAAGTGTTTACATCTTCCAAATCTTCACCATCAAGTGTGATTCGATTGGTGCATGTTGTGTTGTATCGGAGAATCTTGCTTTTCCCTTTGTGTATGTTGAGACCTACTGCTGCTGAGTCTGCTGCTACACCAGTCGTCTTCTCCTGCATTTGTTGTTGAGTGTGCGATAGAAGAACCAGATCATCTGCGAAGTCTAGATCGTCCAACCGCATTTTAGCTGTTCACTGTATACAATATTACATATATATAAACGTTAAACAAGTTCATATGAAATACCGATTAGTAGCACAACATTTAATCCAATCAAAAATGTATTTTTTTTTTAATATTTTGTGTAATAAACTGTTACTATAAGTATTAGTACATATAACAACTGATTATGAACACTAGTCTTAAACATACTTGACTTATACAAGTTACAGTATGATATGTAACACTTACACACATTACTATTAACTACTTAGTTATGAATGTAGTACATAACCCTATGGACAATAAATGATTGTTGACAATATGAATATTCAAAAAAAAATGGCTAAATAAAATTCAAGTGATTAATGTAATGTTAATGTATCACTATAGTAAATAAACTGATTGTATTTGATTGGTGTTTATAATTTAGCTAAGGATGTATTTAAGTATGAATTCAGTATTTATACTACAATGAATAGTGGAGAATTTAATCTCTTTAAGATTTCTACTTCATTTAATCTTTATGTTATATTTTAATTGGTAAGTCAAATACACTTTTGATCTTGTTTATCTAATTATATTAATATATTATTAATAATATATTATACTGATATAATAATAACCACCCATACGCAGGATTCGAACCCGAAACCTTCGGTTCCGCACACAAACGCTTAACCTTTAGACTTCTAAGCCGGCATCCAACGGTGTTAACGTCTAACTTCAATCAGTCTATGATCTTGCTTAAAACTTCATCGATTACTTACAGTAGGTAACTACATCATATCCGGAACGGATGAACTCCACTAGTCACGGCTTCTCACTAGAACTCCGAGAACTACCTGTCGAAGCTTATTACTAGTGAGCACATGATAATTATCAGCATACTATACTGACTATTATCATTATTATTGTCATTACCATTATGCGAATATACCATCGTGGATGAAAGTAATTTTACATCGGTTTTCAGGAAAACCATACATTATCCATCCCTTAATACCACCAACTAAACAGCACAATTCATTTCTGTGGCTCAACTACACAGCTTCCCAGAACCACAGTGGACCGTTTGCACTGTATATATCCATCTATATTTACATAAACATACATTTTTTCCGGTCAATGATAGCGTCAATTAACTATGTACAGTACGAAGAGGCCAATTTTAACCTATTGCAATAACGTGACTGTCAGACCCATTATTACTAGCAATCGCGATATGCATTACACCAACCGAATGACAGGGGCTCCTGAGAACACTGAAAAGCAACTACTAATATCAATGAATTCGATTAAATTGTTTGGCATATAAATAGACAGTAAAACTTGATAAAGTAATGCCAAACCATTCATAGTGAATCTCCATTCTAATAGAAAACCTTCACCTCCGTAAAGCAATCATAAATATTTATTTATTTAGATAAACTTATGATCAATGAAATTAACCATTTTAACTAGTAGATGTAAATAGATGAGATGGAGAATGTAGCTACATATATAAAGACATTGAATGACAATATAAAAAATCCAACTCTATAATAAGAAATCTACAGGTAATTATCGAGATTCTTTATTATAATTAAAATAAGAATTCTAATCCGAACGCCAATCACTGACAATCCTTCTTCGGACAACCGTTAGGCATTAATTTATACTGATAAAATGTCTCATTGGTAGAGTTCAGATCGATTAGAAGAAGCGAAAAAAGTCACTTATTCGTAAAATCTGGTAACCATACAGCAATACTTCATTTGCAAAATATTCATCAGTTGTCTCAGACTTTGTTGTTCTTTCGTTTTCATACCAATCATTCTCTGTCCTCGTTCTCTTCTCTTCGATTTTCTCAACCAGGCATTCCACATTCGATTGGTGAAAAGTACTACTCAAATCTGTCGACATTAGTACCACACTCCAAAGTAGTAGCAGTAGTAGTAGTAGTAGTAGTAGTAGTAGTAGTAGTAGTAGTAGTAGTAGTAGTAGTAGTAGTAGTAGTAGTAGTAGTAGTAGTAGTAGTAGTAGTAGTAGTAGTAGTAGTAGTAGTAGTAGTAGTAGTAGTAGTAGTAGTAGTAGTAGTAGTAGTAGTAGTAGTAGTAGTAGTAGTAGTAGTAGTAGTAGTAGTAGTAGTAGTAGTAGTAGTAGTAGTAGTAGTAGTAGTAGTAGTAGTAGTAGTAGTAGTAGTAGTAGTAGTAGTAGTAGTAGTAGTAGTAGTAGTAGTAGTAGTAGTAGTAGTAGTAGTAGTAGTAGTAGTAGTAGTAGTAGTAGTAGTAGTAGTAGTAGTAGTAGTAGTAGTAGTAGTAGTAGTAGTAGTAGTAGTAGTAGTAGTAGTAGTAGTAGTAGTAGTAGTAGTAGTAGTAGTAGTAGTAGTAGTAGTAGTAGTAGTAGTAGTAGTAGTAGTAGTAGTAGTAGTAGTAGTAGTAGTAGTAGTAGTAGTAGTAGTAGTAGTAGTAGTAGTAGTAGTAGTAGTAGTAGTAGTAGTAGTAGTAGTAGTAGTAGTAGTAGTAGTAGTAGTAGTAGTAGTAGTAGTAGTAGTAGTAGTAGTAGTAGTAGTAGTAGTAGTAGTAGTAGTAGTAGTAGTAGTATAGTAGTAGTAGTAGTAGTAGTAGTAGTAGTAGTAGTAGTAGTAGTAGTAGTAGTAGTAGTAGTAGTAGTAGTAGTAGTAGTAGTAGTAGTAGTAGTAGTAGTAGTAGTAGTAGTAGTAGTAGTAGTAGTAGTAGTAGTAGTAGTAGTAGTAGTAGTAGTAGTAGTAGTAGTAGTAGTAGTAGTAGTAGTAGTAGTAGTAGTAGTAGTAGTAGTAGTAGTAGTAGTAGTAGTAGTAGTAGTAGTAGTAGTAGTAGTAGTAGTAGTAGTAGTAGTAGTAGTAGTAGTAGTAGTAGTAGTAGTAGTAGTAGTAGTAGTAGTAGTAGTAGTAGTAGTAGTAGTAGTAGTAGTAGTAGTAGTAGTAGTAGTAGTAGTAGTAGTAGTAGTAGTAGTAGTAGTAGTAGTAGTAGTAGTAGTAGTAGTAGTAGTAGTAGTAGTAGTAGTAGTAGTAGTAGTAGTAGTAGTAGTAGTAGTAGTAGTAGTAGTAGTAGTAGTAGTAGTAGTAGTAGTAGTAGTAGTAGTAGTAGTAGTAGTAGTAGTAGTAGTAGTAGTAGTAGTAGTAGTAGTAGTAGTAGTAGTAGTAGTAGTAGTAGTAGTAGTAGTAGTAGTAGTAGTAGTAGTAGTAGTAGTAGTAGTAGTAGTAGTAGTAGTAGTAGTAGTAGTAGTAGTAGTAGTAGTAGTAGTAGTAGTAGTAGTAGTAGTAGTAGTAGTAGTAGTAGTAGTAGTAGTAGTAGTAGTAGTAGTAGTAGTAGTAGTAGTAGTAGTAGTAGTAGTAGTAGTAGTAGTAGTAGTAGTAGTAGTAGTAGTAGTAGTAGTAGTAGTAGTAGTAGTAGTAGTAGTAGTAGTAGTAGTAGTAGTAGTAGTAGTAGTAGTAGTAGTAGTAGTAGTAGTAGTAGTAGTAGTAGTAGTAGTAGTAGTAGTAGTAGTAGTAGTAGTAGTAGTAGTAGTAGTAGTAGTAGTAGTAGTAGTAGTAGTAGTAGTAGTAGTAGTAGTAGTAGTAGTAGTAGTAGTAGTAGTAGTAGTAGTAGTAGTAGTAGTAGTAGTAGTAGTAGTAGTAGTAGTAGTAGTAGTAGTAGTAGTAGTAGTAGTAGTAGTAGTAGTAGTAGTAGTAGTAGTAGTAGTAGTAGTAGTAGTAGTAGTAGTAGTAGTAGTAGTAGTAGTAGTAGTAGTAGTAGTAGTAGTAGTAGTAGTAGTAGTAGTAGTAGTAGTAGTAGTAGTAGTAGTAGTAGTAGTAGTAGTAGTAGTAGTAGTAGTAGTAGTAGTAGTAGTAGTAGTAGTAGTAGTAGTAGTAGTAGTAGTAGTAGTAGTAGTAGTAGTAGTAGTAGTAGTAGTAGTAGTAGTAGTAGTAGTAGTAGTAGTAGTAGTAGTAGTAGTAGTAGTAGTAGTAGTAGTAGTAGTAGTAGTAGTAGTAGTAGTAGTAGTAGTAGTAGTAGTAGTAGTAGTAGTAGTAGTAGTATTGTGGTGGATTTTCCTTATGCTGACAGATACAAGTAGTATGTAGCCTCAACTGGGCGTGGAATGCCTGACAGCAGAATTTGGAATAGAAGAGAACAGAAAGGAAACAGGAGAGCAATTAAAATAACAAAAGAATTGGAAGAATAATGGAGCTTGTAAAGGACAAAAAAGAAAGAAGATGAGAAAATAGTGTATTTAACGTATGATTTTCATGTTACTAAGCCACTGTGTAATCTTGCATCTGAGTCCTCTTACACTACTGTAGCAGTAGCATCAATAGTAGTAATGACAATGATCATCACTAAGATGTTAACAGATCAGATATTTACAGCTTAATAATCAATTGACTCGTGCACCATTCCATTAAGTTTCATAAATTGACTTATTGTTATTATACGAATACGCTGTCTAAAGTAATTAAACAATATATGGGACAAACTGTCAAGTTCTTACTTATTTTCGTGAGAAATTATAACTTTTAAGGAATGTAATAATATGCAAAAATGAGTGAACAGTTCATATATATTATAATCATTCGATTATTTTATTCCATAGATCTAAATGGTTATATTCGAAAATTCTAAACAAAATGAAGCACCTTCTGGTGATGTGGCAAATGATCACAAGAATACCAACACACATATTGAATCATGTGGTAAGTTGATATCAATGTAAAGGTATAATATACCGACGACCTTGGACAACTTAGCAGCCAATCAGTAAACGTTGCCTAGTTATAAAATAATTAACAATGAAAAGTGATGAATTAATAGTGGAACAAAGACTTTGATCATAGTAATGAACCCCCATAAGCCGTTCTTGTAAAGAAAGAAGGGTATGTTTACATGTATGCACACATATCAGGAGTTGGGATAGTGTTATGAATTGAGGTTGTCACCCCTTAAAGTTTTTTTTCCAGCAACTGACATCATTTCCAACGTAAACAGGTTAGATTTAAGCATTGAGATTTAAACTGGAGTTCTGAGTTAAGTTTACAAATAAGGGTCAGGGCTTTCCTCATGAGCTAACATCGTCTATAATGCAGTCCTTTGTCATCTTTCTGTTTATAAACTTGAGTGACTTAGGGTTGAGATTTAGAGTTAGAGTAAGAAAAGGAGAACACAATCAAGTTTCATTCATCACTTAATTACACAATGAACGACATCAAGTACTTTAACAGACAATCTGACTTCAGAGCAAGTATGTTATATAATTTAGCTTAGGTACCATTTAAAATTCGCTTTTTGGTTTCATAATAGATATTTTCATTGACTTCAATCACTTTAAGAAACAAATAATGCCAATTTTTACTGGATTAATGATAACACACATGTTATCTCTCACTGTATGTGAAAATTCGCGCGGAATACAGAGGGTGTTGTCTCATTTATGATTGGTTAACTCAATGCCATCAGTATGTTATACCTTTACCGATAAATATCGGAGTAATAATTGATATGCTTTGTGACCAATGCCCAAAATCACCTGAAAAATCTCCATTCAGAATCCTGATACTAATCTGATCTATTTTGCTAACGTAACTTACTCCTGCGATTTAGTATCTCTGGCTTGGTCAAGTACACGCCCGATCAGAACTATTAACCCTGAATCGACGGCTAAGTTACTATTGCTCCAAGACTCTTTAGCTCTTCATGACTAAAACTTTGGACCTAGAAGTCAGCAACTAGTCTCTACTCTATATTATATTTCAAACAGACGTAGTTTATCTACAGACAGACCAGACCGCTTCACACTATTTAAAAAAATAACAATCATTCATAAACATGCCAAAAATGGGTGTGAATAGGAGAGACTGTAAAAAATAGACTGGGAATAAATTAGGAAAAGTAAAACGTATAACATTAGTAAATAGGTCGACCGAAAGCTTATGACAAAGGGGATATATACATATTAGTCTAGTCACTTAATAATTATACAATAAGAATATAATAATAGTAATAATTCATAAATTAATCCTGGGAGTTACCATTCCTTCAATCTTCGTTCTGATATAGCAATGATAATATCGGTTATCGTAGCCTATTGATAAAAAATAAACATAACTATTAAATAAGCAAAGACGGACAGTGGCTAGCAGTGGAATCCAGGACGCGCGTTTCGTCCTATTTGGGACTCGTCAGCTGGATGTACCTGCATCTCAGAATTGATGTTCACTCTGGGACTATTAAATGATATCAGTAAATATTTTCTGAAAGTTTTCATATTTTTTAATAAATTCATAGAGCAGTCAGGTTAAAATAAAATGTTTGGTGAAGATTGAATAAGAATTAAAGAAAACTACAATTGAGAATTTGACCAGTGATAGCTCATCGTAATATTGCATAATCATCTCCTATTGCTTGCGGTGGATAACTGTCTCATACATTACATGATTGAATAGATCTGGTCAAGGCTTCTGGTGAGTAAGCTCTATTGAGAAGTCACATATAGGTTGAGATATGTGTTCAGTGCTTCCTGGTCTTTAATGATGATGTAGCTCGGGTCAATTTGCTATTTAATCTATGGAAATTCCTCAGTATTTAAAAACTCTATTAACCAAAGAGGGATAAGTTTATCACGTAATGAAGATACTGTTTATGCTAAAATTAAAACCAATCCTTCTATTTTACATAGCGCGAAATGATTACTTTTCCAAGTAACGTAATAATAAGTAGCCTTTTTTATATTATTTTGACTGTTAGTCAATACAACTTAGAAGAAATGACGAAGATCTTGATGGAACAATTAAATGGAGACTTTACTCCCTACATGTTAGTCGTTCACTATAGTTATATTCTCTGATATAACTGATACATCTAAATAGCGAGCATATAACCCTTTCGTTTCTACAACATATATATATATATGGTTGTTATCAGTTGTTTATTTTTTGCTTACAGAAGAAACGATTATAAACTTATCAGTATCAAACGACTCTAATCACGAAAACTTTCAAATAGCTGGTTCAAATTCTCAGACTGATCATCGTTCGAACTATTTCCGCAATGAACAATCTCCATCTTCTGATTCATCAAAACTTACTAATATCAATGTCAGATTAAGTATTCTTACCAGTTCAAGTTCCCCGAAACCAGTAATTATCATTATTATTATTATTAATTGATATTAATGGTGTTATTATTATTCATTATAAGTAGAAAATTGTGTTGTTTAATTTCACTCAAAAAGTCAAGTTTTTAATTATTAGAATTTACTACTATTTAGTTAATTATAATAAGTATAGTATGATCAGTTCAATAGTCAGATCGGAAGATTAAGAAAAATATGATAACATGTACAAAGTCGCACCAAGACCATACAGAAAAGTTGCCATACTTCAAAACCGTGAAAAAAAGGAGAAGAAATTAACTGAACTCAATGAATTAATAAAGAGGGAACTTAGATGATTATAAGATTATCAGAAGAGGTTTTTGTGGAGATTTTAGTAATTTACTAGTTGAATTCATGGGTCGATTGTAGATAGACCATCATGGAAAACCTGGAAGTACTGGATGGCTGATTCGTTCTAGTATGGGACTACTCAGCAGTGCGCATCCACGTTCCTGCCCCGTAGGATTCGAACCCAGGACCTATCGGTCTCGCATGTGAACGCTTAACATCTAGACCACTAAACCGACATCTAACTTTAACCAATCCACGAAATTGTGCAACCGCCCACCATTGTCTCATAATAGGACGAAACGGCCGTCCAGTGCTTTCAGGTTTTCCATGGTGGTCTAGCTTCAATCGCTTATAAGATTACTCAAATTTTACTAAAATCTTATTAGAAACAATAACCGAAAGTGTCTTTCTGTACGAATCCAATTACTCACATAAATTTTGCCGTTTTTCAATTGGTTAATATTATTTCTAGTTCGTTAAATTTCCTCACACTTGAAGACCATGTTTTCGTTACTATGTATATGAAGCTGTCACATTTCGTTATGTTCTGTTTGCTCTACTTAGGATATCAAGATTTCCCATAATTTATCTTTCCCTTATGTTAGCCACTTCCCATTACCGTTCTACACAGTCGAACCGATCATATTAGAGTAGATCAATCGTTCTTAATTCCATGAGTATTGTAGATTCATATTTGAAATCTTAACATTAAAAATTAATAGAAATGAATAAAAAAAGTACATTTGATGCAAATAGATTATAAATTACTGATCAAATGTTAGATTTTACATACTACTGGTTAGGATCGTGTATTGAGTTCTTTTCTCATCATAGTTAAAGAAAAACTCAGATCTAACATTAATGACTTACATAACATCAATTACAAACTACTCTTTTTTATTGTATGAACTGTGAATTTTCAAACAGCTGAATTCAGACTAAATAAAGTTACTTATTAACAATTAGGGTATGATACTGCCTGACTACCACTTCTTCGATGTTAATGTCAAGTATTTCACAATGCTATGATAAGTTGATGATTTGAACATTTTAATTTTTAAAAAATAGTCAATGTAAACACATTTTATCTATCAGTATGGAAATTTATGGAGATTGTATTATTTTAACGGTTGAATTCGCGAGTAGATTTATACTAGACCATCATTGACAACCTGGAAGTACTGGATGGATGTTTCGTCCTAGTATGGGACTCCTCGGCACTGAATATCTACAGTTTATTTAATTAACGAGAATCAATATATTCATTCCGGACTGTATTGATATACGATAGTGGTTGGAGGTATTCAACAGGAAACCCTGGACCTAGGTTTCGTACCACTTGGTGCTCGTCAGTAAAATGTACTTGTAATCTTGAGGGAACTGATGCTCAGTCAGAGCTATCTGGGCCGCGAATGACTAGATCAAATGCCAAGTATCACGAAACCTAAACCCAGTACTTCCTGTTGACTATCTCCAACCACCATCTTATCCCAACATAGTGCATTCAATATCGAATCACCTAGACTAGTGACCACATTGCAACTTGGCCGATAGTATTCGATCTACACTAAGAAAGACCTGACATATATAACACTGATCACCACCCAGTGATCAATCTGTTGTAGGGATTGTATTGATTTTTTAAGCTTAGTAAAACTAGTAAGAAATATACCAGCCATTGTGTATCCGTTTTATTTATTCTTTTTGGTGATATCATTCAAATAAGATCACAATGAATTAATGTGCTTATTAGTGTATTAAATCCTTTAAATATGGTTGTATTAACATCCTATGAATAATTTGTAACAATCTAAATTCTGATTTGTAAAACTTTTACATAGAATAACAAAAAGCTGTTGACTGTAAACAGTCCACATACAACTAATTCAGTTTTATTTCGTTTCATTAATATGTTGCATTATGTTAGTGAATTGTGAATTTAATCATTTACTCAACTAGTACTGTAGTGAACGAGAACAGAAGTGTGGACAATCGAATGGATTTGAGCACAAAATTACAGAATCTCTTAGTAAAATCTGAGAACCATGCAGTAGTGAATACTTCATTTGCAAAATATCAGTCAGTCGTCTCAAACTTTATTATCTCTTCGTTTCCATACCAATCATTCTCTGTTCTCACTCTCTTTTCTTCGATCCACAAGGCATTTCACTTTCTATTGATGATACATACTACTTATATCTGTCGACATCGGTAGCATACACCACAGTCTGACCCATAAATTGACAACCTATAATCGAATCAAAATTCAGTTTTCTTTTTATTATTTTTATGAAAAAGATATAAAAATGCTTTTCTTTTTAATCTTTTGATCATTGCTATTTTCTCTTAATATTAAACTAGAGATAAGATAGTTACTTTCTCTACAGGTAAATGTTTCATATACATTTCAGTTTAAATATACATTGAAGCTTATTCCTATACCGCAAGCATTGAATTCAACTTATATAGAAGGAGTATATGAAGTTATTGATAGTGGTAATAAATCATCCACTCAAATGTCAAATGTGAAACAAATGTCATCAGACAAAAGCTCAAATGAAGTAAGCAATTTCATAATTATTATGTAATGATATTTGTTGATATGAATTTGAATTATGAAAAGCTTGAAAATAGACTGAAGACTAAATAAATGTTGTTTATAACTAGTGTATGGTTTAGTTTGAAACCAACAGATGTACACACTTTGTTCTATACGATTTATTACTTACTTACTTACTTACGCCTGTTCCTCCCAATAAAGCATAGGCCGCCAACCAGCATTCGCCAACTCACCTCTGTCCTTCACCCTCCTTTACAGTTCTATACACTTCTTGTTCATTCTTCTCATGGCTGTCTCCATTTCTCGACGTAATGTGTTCTTTTGTCTTCCACTTCTCCTTTCCCCTTCAGAATTCCATGTGAGGCCTTACCTTGTGACACAGTTCGGTGATTTCTTCAATGTGTGTCCTATACACTTCCAGCTCTTCTTTTCACGATTTCTTCCTCCACTGGAATCTGGTTTGTTCTCTTCCACAGTAGGTTGTTACTGATAGTGTCTGGCCAACGGATCCGGATTATTTTGTGTAGACAACTGTTAATAAACACTTGTATCTCCTGGATGATGGCCTTCGTAGTTCTCCAAGTTTCCGCCACACACAGTAGAACTGTCTTGACATTTGGATTGAAAATTCTGACTTTGGTGTTGGTTGACAGATGGTTGTTTTGAGTTCCAGATGTTCTTCAGTTGTAAATATGCTGGTCTTGCTTTGCCGATCCGCGCCTTCATATCTGCATCGGATCTACCATGTTCATCAATGATACTACCCAAATATGTGAAAGTGTTTACATCTTCCAAATCTTCACCATCAAGTGTGATTCGATTGGTGCATGTTGTGTTGTATCGGAGAATCTTGTTTTTCAGATGGTGGAGAAGATTTGTGACTCAGGTGGATGATTTTGGTGGTGTTTTGTTCTCTGAGCTGGATGGTTTGGTCGTGAAGCTTTCATCGTTCTTCTGAACGACATCATCAGCACAAACTTCAGAAGTTTGTGCTGATGATGTCGTTCAGAAGAACGATGAAAGCTTCACGACCAAACCATCCAGCTCAGAGAACAAAACACCACCAAAATCTTGTTTTTCCCTTTGTGTATGTTGAGACTTACGATCTATAGTAATCAGAAGTCAGAAGATGAAAATATCTAGACTGAATTCAGTTACAACTTAAATGTGAAATTTCTTTCATTACCAAGTATTTTGAAAATTCACGTTTATCAAGTTCGTCTATCGAAAGTGACTAGCAATTTGATTTATAAAATGAAAGTGATAAACATTATAATTTATGCTTTCTAGTTTAAAGCAAAAGGGAATATGAAGACGGGGTGCTATTCACAGTACCAAACTGTCAAACCCCATTCAATTTTTAGTGAACAAATTTTTGTTTATATAAAACATGGAAATTTGAGAACCAGTTTTATGTTTGATAGTAAAGAACTTGTCCTATAGTTTTTCTTCCTGTTTAGTGACCGAATATTTGACTTCAGTTAAATCTGTTGGAATATTCAGAAAAATATCCCAAAAATCATCCTGTTAAGTCTAATGCTATCCTTGAACGTGAAATGGTGTCATTTTCCTATTGGCCAATACTTATTTCACGTGTCATTTCCCTGTTGGTCAATATTCACGGTAGTCCTAACTGTATAAATATGCACTTGTCTATAATGTATTATTCCTATTCTTATTCTTCTCCTGACCCCATAAACAATTTCATCTACGGTTCGTGTCCTGAAATATTGGAGATTGGGGAACAATATTGGGGTCGTACTGGGATATGTGAAGTTGATCAGTCGGTAGAAATTAGAGTAGCCACCCCGCGGTCCACAATAAAATCATATGCTGATTGTTATCAAAATACACATAACAACTATCCTCTTACATAATTACCGACTTAATTCACTTTGGAGAATAACGGAATAAAATCAGCCAAATACAAGAATCAATTTTAAATACGTATATTTCATACACTCATTGATCCAGACAAATAATCAGAGAAACGAAGTGAAGGAAGAGAAGTGAGACGAAACAAAGGGATGCGCGGTGCAGGAGGAACGTGAACCAACTCGTTCTGATCAAGTGTGACTCAAAATTCATATTCAAACATAAATAAATTACAGACACGTAATGAATAAGACAAGCAATTAACACACATAAGATCATATAAAAACAGTCAGGGTTAATAAGCGGATAATCAACAAGGTCAAAATGTAGCTTGAGAAGAATGAATAAATTGGTCTTTTTAGAGGCTAGAATAACCTCTGTGGGCTTGACATAGTATCAGCGACTACAATTTCATCTCAAAGAAAAACTTATTGAACGTTTTCAGATACTGTAACTTTTGAAAGCTGCAATTCTTTCAACGTCAAGCGGAAATAGCTTTTTTTATTACATCAGACGAATTACTCAAAGGTTCCACACAATCTATTATCATCGTTTAATATCATTTGCTTATCAGGTGGATGAAACCTACTTACACCTTGCAAAAGAAACTTGTGATCAGCTAGACAAGCTAAAACCAAATCGAATTTTGAACACTGAATCCCACTCTCTGCCATCAAATTCTCTGAGAACTCAAACAAAGGTAGGTAGATACTTAGCACATTCATTTGTCAAAATCAACAGAATAGTTCAAATGAATAGGATAACAACCAGCTCATTCATTTATCAACGAAATTATTTCTTGATAATTTATTTCAATTATTTTCAGGTTTATTTTGTTTTTTCATAGACGCATTAGTTCTTCAGATTGACGTACATGATGTATGATGCTTAACTAACTATTCACTGTGAATAAACAATTCATATGATGAATTTATTCGCTTTTAAATGGTTCGATAAAAGAGTAGCTAAAGGGATTATTATTATTTGAAGTATAGAGCCTAAGGCAACAATAAAGGGAATTAGGGCCAAGAAAGGATGAAAGGTTGGACGAATAGTTTCTGCACGCAAAGTTCGGGCTTGAGTTCGTGGATTACCAATGCCTTAATCCAACCTCTCATTCTTCCTTGGCCCTGATTCAATAAAATTTGTAAATTGGAAAATCCATAGTTAGTATTTTAGTGGCCCTTAATCTGACTCCAAGTTGATCGTTTCTGATTGTTATCGAATGATTGCTGTCAAAATATGATTCATGAAAAATGAATGAATTGACTTGTCCAGAAGTCGGAATAAGTTATGTGAGCTTAACATAGCAACCGACACTACAATATTCTAAGCCTTTGTTCTCTTAATAAATCTGTGAAGGGGTTGCCATACACAGAGGGTCATCTAAACTCTCTCTCTCGTTTTACTCCATTCTTGATAACCGGTACACTAAGTAAAGTATGTAAACTGATGATTGAAAAATAAGTTCAATCAGTTATAATAATTGCTGTCAATAGTTCATATGGATACTTGGATATGAGAGTATCTATTTAAATAGGAGAGACTCACTAATCTTAGTATTTTGACTATTGGATAGTTTTTCTTTGTTTAAATAACTCTGTATTCATTAGTAAGAACAAACCAGAACAATTTATATGACATAGGAAATCTTTATTTAGAAGAAATCAATTGCATTGTATTTGTCCTCATCAGCTTACTAGTTTTGACTATACGAAGGAACTGAGCTGAATTAACTGACTGAGTTGTTTAACTATCAAGAACTTATCGGAATTGATTATCTTATTTTTATGCTACAATTATACTACTTGCTGTCAATACGAACTAATCACTTGCAGCATGGTTAATATCTGATGAAACTGTATGTATGCTTTGTATTCGAGTAAATCTCTTCAGTAATATACAAAATGAGTTCAGATTTGTAAGGGTTGTATACATTTTATCTTTTAGTTATTTCATCAATCTAAAAAGTAATACAAGCTAATAAATGTAAATTATGGTCAGAATCTATAATTCAACTATTAAACGAAGTGAGATTTTGTTGTACACTTTGGAATGTTTACTAAACAAATAAAACTAACGTTACTCTTCAACAAAGCCTATCTGTAACCCTAAAAGTATAAACATTCATCAATTCAGATGTCAATATGAAAGAGTATCCATCCCCTAAATCTAATATACAAAATGAGTTCAGATTTGTAAGGGTTGTATACATTTTATCTTTTAGTTATTTCATCAATCTAAAAAGTAATACAAGCTAATAAATGTAAATTATGGTCAGAATCTATAATTCAACTATTAAACGAAGTGAGATTTTGTTGTACACTTTGGAATGTTTACTAAACAAATAAAACTAACGTTACTCTTCAACAAAGCCTATCTGTAACCCTAAAAGTATAAACATTCATCAATTCAGATGTCAATATGAAAGAGTATCCATCCCCTAAATCCAGAGACGGATATGCGCTGTTGGAAATTTTTGTTATGATATAGGGCCATAGTTCTATCTATCAGAAGATACCTTTGAATTACTTGACTAATTTTATAAAGATCAGTGACGAATAAGTGCTTTATCTTAAATAAATAGAAGAACCAGAGAAATGTGTCAAATGTGAACAATCAACGGATCTACCATTGGCATTAATAAACTGCCACTATATGAACTCGGTCTGAGCCTGATATGATTATGCTTAGTCTATTCGCCAATTATAAACGTGTACAATTTTTTTATGAACAAGAGTAAGTTTCATTGACTCAACTGTTGTGTGCTCTAGATATTGTTGTGTATATACCATTTTTGTCTCCACTTTTTTTTCTGTTTCATAAATTGTATTGATCCCTGCTTTTGCACTGTGATAATTTTTGACTATAGAAGCAAATAAAGTTTTATAAACGAAATAGCTTACTTTTTTAACTTGACTCACTTCAAGACTTTGTGCTCGATAGCCTAGGGAATTCATTAGAATATTCAACTATAAAAATGATGTCTTACAGAGTTACGAACAGTGATTTATTCCTTTTTGATTAACAAATACACTTACAACAGTTGAAATCATGAGTCAATTGAAGCTAGACCACCATGAAAAACCTGCAAGCACTGCACGGCCGTCTCGTCCTAGTATGGGACTCCTCAGCAGTGCACATCCACGACTCCACCCTGTGAGATTCGAACCCAGAACCTACCAGTCTCGCGCGCCAGCGCTTAACCATTAGACCACTGACCCGGTATCCGACGCTGTTATTATTATTATTAATGGCTTTATTCAATATTATAGTTTTGGTACAATATAGAATTCTCAGCACAGGTTATTTCAACAAGTTACTTATGCAACAACAAAAGAAAAAAAACAGTAACGAATTGTGGTGTTTGAATGAACCAATGATACCTTTGTACTTGTTGAATGCTCGATTTCGAATTCTAAATACAATACATTCGTTTGTGCCTGTGTCTTCTTAATTCAATTGCGTTAATCCTGGAATTCCTAGTTCATACGAGAATTCGAATACTATATTGGCGTCGTGATGGAACCTGCAATGGAAAAGTTAGATATTCATTCAACTCCTGAATCTATTGAGGATTATTTGGAAAGGTTCGAAATTTGGAGCATGACCAAGAAAGATGTTAAAGGTGAGAAAATTGTGGCACATTTCCTGACATTCATTGGGAGAGAAGCGTACAGCTTATTAAAAACTTTGGCATATCCAGAAAAACCTATCTCACTCCCTTATGCAACTCTTAAAGAGTTATTGTTAAGTCATGTAAAATGCACCAGTTTTGAATGCCGTGAAAAAGCGAAGTTTCATAAGATGGTTCGTCAAAATGACCAAAAGGTTCGGGAATTCATCCTTGAATTACAGAAACAAGCTGCCAAGTGTAATTTCGGTGATCAACTTCATGTGCAACTGAGAGATCGATTAATTGCAGGAATTAACATACCGAGTTTGGAAAGAGAGCTGTTAAGAATGCCAAACTGTTCCTTTCAAGATGCTAGAACTGCATGTATTAACTACGAAGCAGTCAATGAACTTGATATCCAGTCGATGAAGATTTCTAATACTTTGCTTAGTCGTCGTGATGAACTACAATCTCAGGGTCAACCATACTTGCGTTCATTTAACAGTGATTCCTATTCTCGTGTAAATATGAAAAATGTTTCAACGAGGAATTACAAAGCAAATCACAAAGGTGAGATGAAGTTTGGTAAATGTTTATCATGTGGAAAGTTTCATGCTCGCAATTCATGTGTATTTCGTAATGCTAAATGTTTTAAATGTGGTAAGGTAGGACACATTCAGTCAGTATGCAAAGCTACTGTCCATTTTGCTTCGAGCTGTACTAAATCTTGTAATTTAAATTTCAATAATTCGGATGTTTCTAGTGATCATTTGTCTTTGTCCACTATTTCGAAAGGTAATGCTCATATTCAGAAGCGATTATATACATCGCTTGGTTTATTTCATGACTTTATTCTGGACACAGGCAGTATAGAGTCCATTATTTCATTCAAGAACTTGAAAGCTTTAGATCCTAACGTTGTTGTACGACCCACTGAAGTATCAACACTGGGGATTACTGGACACAGACTGCCCGTACGAGGATGTTGTGAATTGCTAATCAGAGATGATAATTCTTCATACATACCTTGTGAATTTTTAGTTAGCGAAACCGGACTGTCAATATTGGGTTTAAAGAATTTGAAAAGGCTTAAGGTGGAGTTGTCCTTCTTAGTTTCTAAAGAAAATTCTGATACTTTACTTAAAGATTTGATAGCTATGTGTGCTAAGGGCAGTGGAGGTATGAAAATTAAGCCTATAAAACTTCAAATACAGGGTGATCCCGTCTTTCTTAAAAGACGAATAATTCCTTATGGTCTTCGAGAAGCAGTACATAAGACATTAAACGGTTTGTGTGTGAAAGGCATAATTGAACCAATTCAGTCTTCAGCATGGGGTACTCCTATCGTTACGCCACTGAATTCGGACGGCAAGACCCCTAGAATTTGCGGTGACTATAGATTAACTCTGAACTCCCGTTTGTTGAAGCAAACGTGCACGACGGTAGAAGCTGAAGATATTCTAAATCGACTTCATGGTTCTAAAGTGTTCTCGAAAGTTGACCTAAAAGATGCTTATCTTCAAATTCCTTTAGATGAATCTTCATCTATTTTGACGACAATTAACACTCCTTTTGGTCTGTTCAAATACAATTTCCTTCCATTTGGTCTAAGTTGTTCTCCAGCCATATTTCAGAAAGTTGTGAATAAAGGAGTTAGTGATCTTGAAGGTGTTGAAGTTTATCAAGATGATCTCATTATTCATGGCTCTAATAAGGTAGTTCATGACCAGAGACTTATTGCTTTATTGCGTCGTTTAATTGCGAAGAATATAACAGTGAATCCAAATAAGTGTTCATTTTGTGTCTCTAGTTTTGAATGCCTTGGATACCTAGTTGATGGTAATGGTTTTAGACCAGATATGAAACGACTAGCTCCACTGACTAATGCACCGTCTCCGAAAAATCTTACAGAATTACGTTCACTAGCGGGTGCTCTTCAATACTATTCCCGTTTTATTCCTAATTTTTCTTGTCGTGCAAATTGTTTATTTAATATTTTAACATCCAATTCATTCAAATGGAGTGAGGAACAAGAGTCATGGTTACAAAGTCTGCTGAAGTTTCTTCAAAGTGATGCTGTTCTTCGAACGTACTCCCCTAATGTACATTCTGTGCTTATTACTGATGCATCACCTGTGGGAAT